CCACCATGCCCAGCTAATTTTTTGTATTTTTCGTAGAGACGGGGTTTCACCATGTTGACCAGGATGGTCTCGATCTCTTGACCTCGTGATCCACCGCCTCGGCCTCCCAAAGTGCAGGGATTACAGGCTTGAGCCACTGCGCCCGGCCCATTTTTGTGTTTTTTGTAGAGATGAGGTTTCACTGTGTTACCCGGTCTGGACCCAACCTCAGACGTGACCTATTGCTGGGGCTGGATGTTTCGGTCTCCTGGCTTGACCACCAGTGGCTGAAGCAAAGGCCAGAGCTGCTGGCTCTGGGCCAGCTTGGCCCTGCCACCCGCAGCGGGCCCCAAGGGTGGGGTCTGCCCTCAGGAGCCTGTGTGAGCTGGGGGTGTGCCTCCCCGTGTGGGGCTTTCCTCCCCAGGACCGCCCTCACTCTAACCCAGCTGCTTCTGGCTGCCAGGAGCACGTGCCCTCAGGCCACAGCCCCCCAGCACCCTGTCCTGCCTCCCTGGCCTGTGTGAGTGATTTTGCTGAAGGCCACTGGGAGAGGCGGGCGCGAGCCGCAGGCTGCACAGATGACGGGGGATCACACTGGCCTTCCTTGAAGGACACACAGCCGGGTGCTGGTGGGGGGAGGGTGGAGCCGGGCAGGAGTGGGGGAAGTGGGGTGGGGGTGGGAGGCAGAAAAAAGGCAGTCCCTTAGGAGTCCTTCCTAGGGGACATCTCAGGCCTAGCCTCCTTGGATATGGCCCCTCTGCTCACAGGGCCAGAGGCCCAACCCAGCCCTGCAGAGAGGGCAGCTGGGGTGGTCCTTCAGCCCTTTAGCCGTGCTGAGGATGGGTGCAAGGCCAAGGGCTGCCTAGGTCAGCAGCTTCCCTGAGGGCCTCCCAGTAAGCCTGGGGCTCCCAGGAGGGAGGAGAAGCAGGGCTAGTGCTTAGGGTGGGGGCTCCTCAGGCTGGTCCCCCCACCACCAAGAGCCACCTCTCACCCCTCCATGTGGATTTAGACAGAAAGACCCTGGGCCCCCCTCACCTACCTTCCCCCCTCCCCGTTTTCAGCCACAGCATCCCTGACCTCTCCTTGGAGAATATGGGGGCCACTGGACACCCCCAGGCCCTGATGCCTGCACAGAGTTCTCCTCTTATTTCTCTACCAAACTGAGGGTCGGCCTGTTATTTCTCATGGCCCAATAACAAGATGCAGATGGACTGGGGAGGAAAAGTGCTTTTATTTCTGCGACTGGTTACAGGGAGAAGGCCTGGAAATGATCACCAGCAAGTTTTCCAGAGGTTGTGTACCTTCCAAGGTGTATGTCTATGTGTAAGTGTGCACTCATCCAAACACATAAGTGATTAACTCTTTTTCATCTGTAACTAAGGTCTGAGTCCTGAAGACCTTCCTCTGGAGCCTCAGTAAACTTAATGTAAAGGGGTCGAGGTGTTGGAGTGATTACCTTATCTTGTCTCCTGCGAAATCATAGAGGTTTGGGGAGTTCCTTTGGGCCCCAGATAAACTTGTCTGTGGAGGACTGGGAAATTGCTTCAGACCCCCGATAACCTTGTTTAATCTTGAATGCGTCCTGTTAAGAATTCCTTCATCATCTTGTCATGCTTCGGGCCCCAGGAGGGGCCTGGGCACAACTCGGTGGGCTTTCGTTACCTCCCAGCCTCTGCAGAAGGGCGCTGGCTTTTTTTTCTGTTTTTGAGACAGACTCTCACTCTGTCACCCAGGCTGGAGTGCAGTGGCACGGTCTGGGCTCACTGCAGCCTCCGCCTCCTGGGTTCAAGTGATTCTCTTGCCTCTGCCTCCTGAGTAGCTGGGATTACAGGTGTGCGCCACCACACCTGGCTCATTTTTGTATTTTTAGTAGAGATGAGGGTTCACCATGTTGGTCAGGCTGGTCTCGAACTCCGGACCTTGCGATCTGCCCACCTCAGCCTGCCAAAGTGCTGGGATTACAGGAGTGAGCCACTGTGCCTGGCCTCAGTGTTTTTTTTTTTTTTTTTTTTTTTTTTTTT